ATGCTTCACTGTTGGCACAACACAGGACTCATGGTAGCGTTCAGCTTTTCTTCTCTGAACAATTGATTTTCCAGATGTCCCAAACAGTCGGAAGGGAGCTTCATCAGAGAAAATAACTTTGCACCAGTCTTCTGCTGTCCAATCCTTGTACTTCCTGCAGAATTTCAGTCTGTCCTTGACGTTTTTCTTGGAGAGAAGTGGCTTCTTTGCTGCCCTTTTTTACACCAGGCCATTGTCTAAAAGTCTTGACCTCACTGTGCGTGCAGATGCTCTCACACCAACCTGCTGCCACTCCTGAGCAAGCTCTGCACTGCTGGTGACACAATTCCAGCTGACTCCTCAGGAGGAGACGGTCCTGGAGCTTGCTGGACACTCTGGGACGTCCTGAATACTTCTTCACTGCAGTCGAACCTCTCTCCTTGAAGTTCTTGATGATCCGGTAAATGGTTCTTTCAGGTGCAATATTCTTTGTAGCAATTTCCTCGCATGTGAGGCCATTTTGATGCAAAATGATGATGGCTGCACGTGTTTCTTTGGAGGTAACCATTGCTAACAAAAACACAATGATTGGAAGCGCTTCTTCACTCCATCAGTCTGCTCTTACAATCTATTTAGTATGCTAGTGATTTCACCTGACTAGTACTCATTCACACTTTCACATGTGCTGCTGATATGATTAGTCAATTAATGTTAGCTGGTCATTTTGTGTCAGGATTAAAAAAACTGTGAAATTAGTTTTTTTGTGAAAAGTTATTTTTTTTGGCCAATGAAGCTTTTAGCAATTATTTAAAATGCATCTGATCACTCTACACAATAATCTAGAAACAATGTGAATGAACACCACAACAGCTTAAGCAGCAAACTGCAAAACACAAAATTGATGTCGCTGCCAAAACTTTTGGCCACGACTGTACATATTAACATGTACGTTTATATTTTATTATGGGGATTTTATACATGTTATAAACTTATATTTTCATCTACCCAGAGGATATACATACAGATATGAGAAAATGTTATGTTCCCTGAGCAGGGTAGGGCAATGTCTATGGGAACATATTAAACTGTAAAATAACTGTAAAAACATCATTTTCAGTTCAGATACAGGCTTTCACAAAAACAAAAAGTTTTATAAAATGATAAACTTCACATTTCAGCCTTTAAACCATTTTTAAGAAAAGAGATGAGTCAAAAATATCAATTATACAATTATCAATAAATTCTTATATTACATAACATATAGATATATCTTAGTGTCTTAATTATTTAGATGCTGCGTCCCAATTCGCATACTTTTAGGGCATAGTATAAGTAGGCGAATTGGGACGCAGCAAGACTTTTATAATGCTTTAGCATTAGCTTCTTGCTGATCCACCGTTAACATTTACAACTTCGTAAAAATCATAGATGGTTCGATTTTTGCTTTGTTCTGAACAAAAACACCAGATGGGCGTATTGAAAATGCAAATTCCTTGAAAGGACAGAAATATAGCGGTTTCCCCGGCAACCACAGTACACAAAGCAAGAGCAACTTTGAAAAGTGCAGTGCTAATATTCATTCAATAAAATCATAGCCTTTGTTAAACTATATCGCAATTCTTGTCTTTCCATCCCCAAATTTAAGACGTCTTGAAGTCATAATTTAGACTTTCTTGTACCATTTAAGACTTTTTATGGCCTTAAATTTGATTCAACTAAATTTAGGACTTTTTAAGGACCCGAGGAAACCCTGTATAATTTTGGCAATATGTTCAAAAGGCAATATGCTATAGGGCAATATATCTTACAATTCTGTATGGGCTGCACCAATTCCTGCCAAATGAACAAACCGTTTTGTCAATTAAGTGAACGCAGCATTTGATCTGAGAAATGTCATCTGCTCACTGTAAAAAATGCAACTGCATTCCATCTTACGAAACCTTTTGAGTCTCAAATACAAAAAAAAAATGCAGTTTTCTTGAAACTACATAAAAATCCTTGTTAGACCAACAGAATTGAACATAAAAACCTTTGTTCGACCCCAAATGTTGTCCCAACTAGTCAAACACAGTTGTCTGACTCTGAATAAAGAATTTTATATTGCTGAAATGTTAAAGGGGTCATATGATGCTACTAAAAAGAACATTATTTTGTGTATTTGGTGTAATGAAATGTGTTTATGCGGTTTAAGGTTCAAAAAACATTATTTTCCACATACTGTACATTATTGTTTCTCCTCTATGCCCCGCCTTTCTGAAACGCGTCGATTTTTACAAAGCTCATCGGTCTGAAAAAGCGAGGTGTTCTCTGATTGGCCAGCTATCCAGTGCGTTGTGATTGGCCGAATTCCTCAAGCGTGTGACGAAAATGTTACGTCCCTTACCATATTGTGATGCCTGCGGCAACCACATGTGACGACCCCGGGCTGGACTCCGCTTCGTCCACAGTGAAAGCCGATCTGGCGATCCACAGCGCGAAGTTGATGTATTCCCTCAGCGACGCATCATATGACGCCTTTAAGGCTTTGTGAGTTCCCAGCATGCATTGCTGCATGAATAAATTATGCAGATACTGTTATAGGGTTATTGTTTTGCTGTTTGCTGGCTTCATTTAAACTTTTTCGTTGTCGTTATGTCATTATTGTTAGTTGTATGTTGTGCAGTGATTTAAAGAGCTTGTCTTTTTTTTTTACATTTGTTGATTGGCACCGTTCTTGAGGTTTGTGTGTCAAGTATTGAGGCCTAGAGTATGTTCAACCACTTAAATTGATATTCTGGATATTCTAGTCTTGTACAATGCTTTATAAATAAATACAATGTTGTCAATTGTGGTTTAAAACATTTCATTATATTCTTGATATCATCATTACAATTTTAATGACATAAACTGATAAAAGAATAAGTCCATGTTTGTCATTCGTAAATAGACGTAAAAACGGAAATGTGGTGACTATTTACACATTTTTTTCATCTAGGAATCAGAAAATAATAAATTTACTCAACAACAGTACTTGTTGTTTCAGTTGCTGAGACTAGAATAACTTTATTAGCAAAATAAGACAAGCATCATTCCATGAACAAACAAATTTAGGTTGGCTGAACATAGTATTGTTACTTAGAAGAACTATAAAAGAATTGTTGAGACAACTCAAAAGTCTTACTGCATCAAGTTGTCTTGTTTTTTATGTTTTCTCAACAGTTTATTTTTTACAGTGCTGAAATGCTGTGGGTGCAAATTTGTTGCATGTAGAGATAACAGCATGTGCATAAAACAAAAGTGTAAGTCCCAAAAAGGGGAAGCCCACGGTTATTTGAGCCGAACACAGTTCAGGACAGTTTAAGCTGTATCGGTAGCTACCTAACAAACCTGCTCCTCACTCCTCAAGTCATCATAATATTGAATATTGAAAGAGAAAGCACCATTCACATTGAGAGTTGATTGATTTTTTATATTTTTTTCCAGTAGAGTTATATATAACAGTGATTCCCAACCCTGGTCCTGGAGGCACCCCAACACTGCACATTTTGTATGTCTCCTTAATCAAACACACCTGATTCAGGTCATCAGCTCATTAGTAGAGACTCCAAGACCTGAAACTGGTGCGGCAGAGAAAGGAGACATGCAAAATGTGCAGTGTTGGGGTGCCTCCAGGACCAGGGTTGGGAACTGATATATAATATTCTGTGAAAGTTCAGTGGCCTCAATATGCTTTAGGACAGGGCTGGCCAACTTCGGTCCTGGAGGGCCACTGTCCTGCAGAGTTTATCTCCAACCCTAATCGAACACAACTAGCCTGACTGTAGCTTTCTAGTGATCTGGAAGACATTGATTAGCTGGTTCAGGTGTGCTTGATTAGGGTTGGAGATAAACTCTGCAGGACAGTGGCCCTCCAGGACCGAAGTTGCCCAGCCCTGCTTTAGGAGTATGTTTGTGATAATACATAGGTTATTAGATCTCACCCGATTTTAAAACTTTCAAACTGCTCTGGGCACAGCTCTCAACACCTTTAGCTACTTATCAGAATCAGTGCTCCTGGGTGGAAATCAGACAATGACTCAAGAATACTTTTTCCATTTGAAAAACATTATAGATTTATTAAGCACATTCACTGTCTCTCTACAAAAGTAGATACGTAACTGTCATACATGAGTGTTTTTTTCCTTCAAAACATAAAAGAACAAAAAACGAGAACAAACGTTCTAAAAACTGACGTTGCAATCATCTTCCTAAAAAAAAAATACAAAAAAGTGTTACACATTCCTGAATCATTCAAATATTTACAAAGCAAAAAGTGACCTAAAAAATATACTGTCTAGTCTATATAATCATGAACTTGCTTTGACTTCAAATCATGGTCCATTGTTTTGCTAGTTAACTATTACTGAACAGTTCAAGAGATATGCAAAGTTTAAATAAACAAACAGCAGTTTTTACTTGACGTTTCCAAAGCACATATTCATATGATCCTCTGATTTCCCTTTAGAATAAAGCCATTTGTTTTTCTCTGGAAGCAATATCTGAGATCTATGCAGTGTGACTGTCCACATCTCAAATGACAGTTCAGTTATAGAAGCATATACTATTAGGAATAACACCTGCTAGTTCTAATTATAGAATAATCATGTATACGATTATTCACAATTAACTTTTGCTGATGTTGGCCCAGATGTAGGGAGTATGATAAAAGAAATGCAACATTCTCAGTTATGGCTACATCATAGTGACAATAAAGAGGTGAATAAAATTCAACACCCTAACAATTTTTAAATAAACACTTTGTGGAAGTTGAACAGAAGTATTATTCACTGAATGAATATATCTTTATATAACCTGACATTTTATCTTTATAAAAGTGCTACATTTTAGCGCTACTATTGATCCGCATTGTTGACTTCATGCAATGATCACTAAAGGCATAAAGCATATCTTACCACATACAGTTCTAAAATGTACGACTGTTGTGCATAATGGCAGTTGTTACAAGAATAGTTCACCCAAAAAAGAAAATTCTCTGAAGTTCCGTCAATGACGATACACAAAGGAACCATCATATGAATTCAGACTTGAAACACAGTCGTATTTACTACATTTACGATACTCCTTTTTTGTTCCACAGAACATAGATATAAGTTTTGAACCAAAATAAAAATAAATGTTGCACTTAAATTTTTTGGGTGGACTGTCCCTTTAATATATACAGATACATTTGTGAAAGTAAAGCCATTAGTAGCATGCATCTTGAATGTCATGAAGACATGGAAAAATCACCTGAACCCTCAAAGGATTTTTCAAGTGACTGATTCTCTGTAATCTTTTAATCTGTCTTAAAAGTTTATAATTGCACTATTTACTTTAGTGACTGTTGTGTAAATGTCCATTAGGTATGTAAAGCAGCAAAATGTTACATCTGAATAGGTAGGGCTAGAATTTCTTTGTGTGAAGCCACACAAAGCTGTATTTGACGATCTAACAGTAATACATTTACAACTACTAAGTTAATAAGGTACTTTCTGAAATACACACACTTTAAATGGCATTTAATACTACATCTGTTATTCTTACCAAAATGTACTGTTGGGAACCTAAATCCAAAAGGAATGTATTTGCAAAGTCTTCACTTTGCAATGTTAGTAACTACAAGTAAATGTAACAGTCCTATTTATGTAATATATAAAAAATGTTATGTATTCGTTAATTTAATGCTATTCGTTGTATTACCCTTTGTCTTGCAGTATACCGTATGTTGTTGTACACTGTGCCATGCTGTGTCTATTGTGCCTGACAAATAAAACCAGTACCATTTTAAAATTACATTCTTGTAATAGAATAACACACCACATACAGACATACAGAAAGTTCACTAAACTCTTACATAATATGACCTGAATTACAGTCATCTTCCCAAACTAATCTGACACATTTGGGATTCTCTGACATGTACAAATGTGCCATAAATCTACCCTCCATACAATAAAATCTCAGAAAAAGCATTTACAAAAAAGTGAGCTGTCAGATAATTATATCCACTGTAGGTAACATAATGTAACATAAAAACAACAGTCATGATCTGTGGCCCTCTGTATCTAATGAGAGTAAATATCCAGATATTGTACTTACATCAAATGGAAATTGCCCACAAACAGAGGTTGATTTTCAGTCAAGTGTAAATTCATTTGGTCCAGGCAGTGGTGCTACTGTATTCAAAGCATTCTGTGCCGCCAATCTACCCATCTAACAAATAGCTGGCCTCCCTCAGATCTTTTTGGTGCGCCGGCCGAGGTGATGATAGTAACTCAAGGTGATGAAGAGGAAGAAGGTTTCACTGAGAAGAAGAACGATTGCACCGTTGGACAGTGTGCCCATCTCCAAGAGGGTGATGGACGTCACTGGGGGGAAAAAAATGAGTACAGAGACTAATTTTAAAGTCAGACAAAGTAGTAGTCTGAAGCATACACAGACATTTAGCAAAAGACAAAAGAGTGCCATGCAGCATAGCTACAACACTCAATTCACAAACATATTTAACTCATATGTTATGTTAAGGAAATATGTTAATGAAAGGCAACAACATGCCGTCCTCTTTTGGAAATACATGCCGTAGCAACAAACAATGCCGTAAGGGACAGGCTGGATTGTATTTAAAAATAAAAATACAACTAAAAATTAAATAAATACATAAATAAATTAACACTAAAACAAACGATTCATTATTATGTTAATAAACAACCAAGTAAAATAAGTAAAAAATAAAATAAAACAAAATGAAATAAATTATGAATCTAATGGCGCTTTTCCACTGCATGGTAAGGCAAGGCACAGCTAGCTTTTGGGGGGTTTTCCACTGGGTACAGTACCTGGTACCTGATACTTTTTTCAGTACCACCTTGGCTGAGGTTCCAAGCGAGCCGTACCGTTAGCAAAATGTGACGTGTAAACTCTGCTGATCACTGATTGGCCAGAGAGAATCGTCATTGCCTGCGTCATTGAACTTGCGACACGAGACATTAGACTAAATCAGCACAGCCAGTGAGAATCGAACGCAACTTTTTTTTGAACGAGCGCACCTTTTTTTAGAACAGCAAAATAATGCCTGTTTCGTGGTCTCAAAAGTACAGTGTTTCTTTTGAGACAAACTCCTTCGTCTTGCAGTTAAAAACATCCACATGCCGAGAATGAAGAACACCATTCCATCGATATGCTCCATTGTTGTGTGTTTGTTTATATCGATGTGTTTACGATGATGTCACGGCAGTAGAGGCTGCGTAACTATAATGACATGTCTATAATCCTGCCCACACTAAAGCGGTACTAATCTGCAGTGGAAACGCAAAACGAGCCATACCATGCAGTGGAAAAGCGCCATAAGCATAAAGTATCAGTAGGTGCATGTACCATATATTTCAAACACGTTAGAACTAGACTTTTATTATGTGACAGTCCTAAATACCATAAGTGTAATAACTTTCTTCAACATTTACTTTAGGGGTTTATTGGGTTAATTTTGTTTCTAATCCTTTGAAGCATTTGCTTGGATAGGATTTTAAAGAGAGCTTGTTGCCATAAGAGGGCAGTACAGCATTAAGAACAATGAGTATTCCAGACATTCTCTGCTAACCAGGGCTCAAAAGTAAAGTATGGCCCAATGGTCTAGGCCTAGGGCCAGTGCTAGAGTGTTTCAGGACAGATTTCATCAGGTTTTATTGACTTGTTCTAGTCTTGGAAGCATTTTGAGAATGGGTTACAAATATAATGCTTTGCATTGTTTTCAAGCAAGAGTTTATAAACGTACCGCTATCATGCAGTAATCGCACATCACAATCATAAAACATAACCTTTCAAAAAAACATAAAATATGGAACAAAACATGACAAATATAAAAATACATAAAAATAAATAGGTTTAAAATAAACCATGTAAAAAAAAACTTGCTATTGAGCCCTGCTAATATTCTGAACTGGCTTAAATCAATTATCCTCAAGCCTAAATGTCCCTTAATTACAGGTAGAATAAAGATTAAATGTCAGTTTCCATTCTCACATCCCTCAGCACTGTCTCCCCACTGTTCTCAGGAGAAAGAAAAATCCCTCTCACCTAAAAATTGTACCCCGAAGTAACACGCTTCTGTAAGTAGCGTCCATTGAATGATGACCTTTTCCGCTGTGTACAAGCCATTCCACAGAATTAATGAGATACCTGTTGGGAAGAGCAAAACACTCAGAGTCAATTCTGAGATCATCCTAAGTCAGGTAGAGACATTAAAGGGCACCTATCTATTAAATATAATGCAGAATCTCCTCAAAACACCCAAGCACTTAGGCTTGGAATTAAAAAGCTTGAAATCTGGCCAAAGATCAGAGAACCGATGGTGCCGTGGGTTCTGATTCTGTTCGGGGAAAAGTGCAGAGAGACCTTCTGATATCCTCCCACACTGCGGATATGGATAACACGGAGAGTAGCTGTTTCTTCAACCCTGCCAAGTGCCATCTGCCAGCACTATTTTTCCAGCCTTGCTCGAGTAATTCCCACCATCGAACTGGCCATTGATCTGACAGAAGAACACACCTTGCATCACCACAGGGGTATGAATTGTGTCAAACTGTATAAAGACCACTGGATCTCAGTGAGGGGTCTAGACTGCAAAATACAGCCCTTTGAAAATTTGCATACCAATATCATGTGTACATACAGCAAGACTTCCAGGGCTCTGCTGCAGCATCATACTCATGAGCACTCGGACAGATAATGCATGTAATCACATTAGCATAATAGTCTATATCCCCCACTGGTTAAGGCTGGAATCTAAACAAATTGGAGAGGGAAAACTTCTCTACGCTGAATTAGAGGCTGTGTTACGCTATTATGAAAAAAGACAAATAGGCTGCTGTTCCTAATGAAATAAGGGCATAGGGAGGGAAGGGATTTTATTTCCACAAAACACTCACTTTCACACACCCATAAGCCACCCCTGCAATCTTTTATAATACAAGACCTCCTACGGTTGACTGTAAGCTCAAGCACGGAGTGAGCCTGGCATGTGCTGTTATTGTGAAGAATCCTAAGACCAGCAGGGAGTCATTACTAGTCCCAATACAGTAGCACTGCCCAGCACTCTGAAAGCCCTGCCCTATATGTGGCTAAATGGAATTGTACAGACTCATTCATTTTTAAAACAGAGGCGTAAAATATTCATACCACTTGAAATCATACACTAATCTGGCAGTGAAAAGCTCATCTAGTCATGAATATTTCCTGTGAGTGGGAGACAGAATTGCACAAATGTGTTTACATTATGCATTTGCTATGCATAAATTGATATGGAGTGGAAAAAGCGAAAGCATATAGACATGCACATATACGCTACATGGCCAACAGTATGTGGAGAAATGCATATTTAAACATCCCTTTCCAAAATGATGGGCGTTAACATGGAGGTGGCCCATTATACAAAGTGTCCTAATGAGTCCAATACATACACATGCATTTTATTTGAACGATATCTGCAATGCTTTTACAAATGCCATACTTTTTTGGTTGTCCTTGTGGAACTTGTAGTATTTTTTTAAATAATATTTAATGTTTCCTTTTTTAGCCAATTTACAGTGGGTATAGAAAAGAATCACCCCCCTTTAAAATAATCACATTTTATTGCTTTGCAGCCTGAAATGAAGACAGACACAGTTCCCTCTTTTTCCTAAGCGGCTTGGGTCTCATTATTGGCTCATGCTTACAGGAGCCCTCAGTATAGGTGCTCTGGGGCTGGGCTCGCAGAGCGCATTCGTTCTGCACTTGCTTATAGCACGGCGCTATTGGATGTGTTCCCCATAAGTGTCAGCTACGCAACGGTAGAGACAGTTCGAAAGGGAACGCTCCAGTTACTAATATAACCTTGTTTCCGATTACTGTTGCTTGAGTCAAAAGATTATGACGAAATGAGAGCCTTATATAGCAGTCGGCTCCACTCCTTTTGGCACCACTGATTCGTGCAGCTACAGGAACATGAACAAATCAGGCTTCAGTATCAGAGTAAAAAGGAGTTTCCCCTATAAGGTTTCCCCAATGCAACGCAACACTCATTCCCTTATCTCAGGGAACCAAGGTTACGTTAGCAAAAGGAGCGTTTTTGCTTTATCCAGCTGTATTTACTATTTATAACATCCAAGTGAAAGATATAACACCAACATGTCAGAAAAAAAAAGAAAAAAACAGAATCACAGAGTTGGAAAAAGGATCTGACCCGTGTCAGTATTTTGTTGAACCACCTTTTGCTTTAATCAGTGTTGGGAAGGTTACATTGGAAATGTAATAGGTTACAGATTACAAGTTACCCTATTTAAAATGTAATAAGCAGTGTAACTATTTCAATTACTTTATTAATGTAACATTACATTTGATTATTTTTTGATTACTTTTCTAAATTTCTAACCAATGATTTCAACTATTAATCATTTCAAAACATTTAAAACAGGCAGGGTTAACCTTACGGCAGTATTCAACACTGACTACTGTCAGACTTCTCAAAATCCATCACTTGAATTAAGATTATAATAATTTAATTTTAAAGCATAGCAGCCACAAAAATCAGATTTTACCACTTTTTTTTTACTTTGAGAGGTTAAATACAGATTTAAAATCATAAGAAATAGTTTAATAGCTACGATACTATTTTTGAAATCAAATCATTGCGTAGCTATGACAGGAACCACTGGCATCTAACAATGCCTAGGAAAAAAAGTTAATCTTAAGAAATAAAGCATATGCATAAACCCAAATATGAAATAAAACAGTTATCAAATAAGCATGTCCTAAACTCCTGAAAAATTGGTGTCTCATATTTTACAGCAGTCAATGCAGTTTGGTAAAGAAATCAATTAAATCTGTGTGTGTGTGTGTGTGTGTGTGTGTGTGTGTGTGTGTGTTGTGTGTGTGTGTGTGTGTGTGTAAATATTCAGATGTAACCTTTTGTAATCGTTAACATTTTCATAAGTAACTAATTTATTTACACATTTTTCTCAGTAACTGTAACTGATTACAGTTACATTTAATTTGTAATTAAATTACATAATTCTGTTACATGTAAATTAATCCCCAACACTGGCTTTAATTACAGCCTTTAGTCTGTTGGGATATGTCTCTACTAACTCTGCACATCTAGACTTTGCAATATTTGCCCACTCTTCTTTGCAGAACTGCTCAAGTTCAGTTAAAATTGATGGTGACCGTTTGTGGACTGCAGTCTTCAAGTCATTCCACAGATTTTCAGAGGGGTTCTGGGCTCTGACTAGGTCATGCAAGGACATTCACCTTTTTCTACTTCAACCACTGTGTGCTCAGTTTTGCTGTGTGCTTTGGGTCATTGTCATGTTGGAAGGCAAACCTTCTTCCCACTGACATATTTTTGGCCTCAAGAATTTGACGGTATTTTGCTCCATTCATTTTTCCTTTGATCCTGACAAGTGCTTCAGTCCCTGCACTAGGCCATGGAAGGACATTCACCTTTTTCTCCTTTAACCACTGTGTGGTCAGTTTTGTTGTGTGCTTTGGGTCATTGTCATATTGGAAGGTAAACCTTCTTCCCATTGACAACCAGTGTTGGGTAAGTTACTCTAAAAAAGTAATTAATTACCAGTTACTAATTACATCTTCAACAGTGTAATTAGATTACTGTGCAAATTACTCTCTCCAAAAAGTATTGAATAACTTATTACTAATTGCTTTCTAAATCATATATCAACCTCGACAAGTTAATGATACAAGGATAGAAATAAAATGTTTCTTTTAATTCTTTCAAATAAGTAATAGATAACTACATCAATTATTCTGGTCACACTTTAGATTAGGGTCAAATTCTCACTATTAATTAGCTATTAACTATGACTTTTGCCTCAATATACTCCTAATTACTGCTTATTAATACTTAGTAAAGTAATTGTTAAGTTTAAGAAGTAGTTGTTAAGTTTAAGAATTGGGTAGGATTAAGGATTTAGAATAAGGTCTTGCAGAATAAGACATTAATATGTGCTTTTTAAGTAATAATAAACAGCCAATATCCCAGTAAAAATCATGCTAATAAACAACTAGTTAATAGTGAGAATTGGACACTAAAGTGTTACCAATATTCTTATTACCTCACCGAAGTATTTAAAGTGAGAAGAGTACATAAAAAGCGTTAGACTTTAATGATTGTTTGCTTCAGTTGCACTACCAAGGACTGAAATATATACATTTACATTTAGTCATTTAGCAGATGCTTTTATCCAAAGCGACTTACAAATGAGGACAATAGAAGCAACCAAAACTAACAAAAGAGCAACAATATGTAAGTGCAAATGACAAGTCTCGGTTAGCCTAACGCAGTACATGTAGCAAGGTATGACTAGACTGAACTCAGGAAGATCAGCTGTGACTAGACTTGACTCATGACGATCAGTTGTGACTTGACTTGACTCATGACGATCAGTTGTGACTTGATTAGACTCATGAAGATCAGCCATGACTTGACTAGACTCATGAAGATCAGCTGTGACTTGACTCATGACAATAAACTGTGACTTGACTTGGTTCATTAAGATAAGCTGTGACTTGACTTGACTCATGAAGAATAACTGTGACTTGACTTGGTTCATGAAGATCAGCTGTGACTTGACTGGACTCATGAAGATCAGCTGTGACTTGACTTGGTTCATGAAGATCAGCTGT